GGATCCTTCTGGATTGCTTGACGGCGCAGGAAGTCAGCTGCAGTCACAGTAAAGCGGCTGCATCTGAAATTAGCGAGCCGGGTGCCTTTGAGTGTCCGTGGAGACGCATGGGACGCATCCCTCTCTAAAGGGCACCGCGGATGATCTCAGCTCCCACCTTGTAAAGTCAGCTGCCCTTTTATCCGCTGCTTGCATTTGCATTTTTCTTTTTTTTTTGTAAATTTGCTAATCAGCAGCGAAAGCTCATTTTCAGAGGTTCCTGCTGATGGATTCTGCTGCCGTTTGGGTCCCGGCCGCCCTCAGACACCGGGCCCCCGACGGCGAGGCTTGTGCGAGCGCCTCAAATCCACACCGGGGTGAGATCCAAGGGAACAAATCTCCGCGAAACAGATGGCTGGACCCGGCGAAAGGTTCCGCGGTCAGAGCTTTCTGCGCCCGCAGCCCGCGCTGTACCTGTAACGCGTATCAGCCGTGTGAGTGATGGCGGAGGAGGAGTTCAGAAGGAGTACGGCAGCAGTGCTGCTCGAAGACAGAGGGAGGACAGGGGCGCTACGGATATCAATGTGCTTTTTTGGCGACTTGGTTATCGTTGGATTTACCTTAAAATCGGGGGTGAAATTGCAGGCAGCTGCTTGGGGTGAAGCTGCCAGCATTATGGGCAGACAGGCCAGGCCACTCTCCTCATGATGTTAGATCGCATCAGAAAGACATCGAAGGTCTGCACCCTGCACATGCGCCCCCCCCCCCGAGGTCCGACATCCTCTAATATCCAACCCCAAGCTGTATAAACGCATGCATAGTGACCCCCGGCATTTTCCGCGAAACGCTGAGCCGATCTTTCATTTCCCTAGATGTAAGTACATCATTTGCAGCCTCCTCTGCCCCCGTTCAGTGAGTCGCCCTGCCATGCTGCCGCCGTCCTGACTTCCCGTCGTATCGAGAAGCCCCATAGGCTCCATTTTAATCTGGAAGCAGGATCCGCGGTGTCCAGCCAGCCCCCCCACTGGACCTTGCTAACGGACGCACCTGTTCCGCTCGCCGCGCTGCCGGGTTTCCCAGGTAACGGCACGCGTGCTTTTGTGCCACCTGGCCTTCATTAGGTCCCCGAGGCGGCCCGAGGCTGTACAGGCTGGAGCTGCCAGTGCCTGATTGGACCTGACCCATTAATGTACCCCCCACACACACGACACCCACCCGAGGTATTCATCCTTGGCAAACCTGTGCTGGCCATGTGGATGCTTTCAGGGCCCAGCCGGGGGGTGGAGCAGGCCCATAGGTACTGAGCCCGGGCATGTGCCAGTCTGGGCTGTTGCAGGTTCGAACCACTTCCCCTGGTCGTGGTCATCCAAGAGCAAGCGAGGCGGGTTTTTCTGAGTTCCTAGCTTGACAGCGAAGGCCGCAGTGGCCTTAGCAAAGGTGATTTGACCTCCGTGGGCTCCATGTGTCACTGGCACCCTGGGTTCTGCCTCCCAAGCTCATCACGGCCCCCGGTGGAGAACTCTGTGAGCCGGATCCATCCCGACATCGACCCGAAAGTGTGTCATTAGCCGATTGCTTCATCGATTGCTGTTTGTTTGGTTAATATAATTAAACAGTCAGTCGATTATGTCTTTAGAGAGCCAGAATCATCAAAGCAGGTTTGAATCGTTAGGAAGATAAATCATTATAGCTCTGTGAGCTGTAGGCTCTTGCTCCTCCGCTGCTTATTATTATTACTATTAGGGTCATTATTAAGCTCCCCCTGCACCCCTCACCCCATGGTGGCCCAGATGGTCTCTGAAAGCTACTGCGTTTTGAGCAGCTGTGTGCTCATTCTGAGTGATCACTATCGACAGTACTGAAAGGTCACTGTGTGCGTTCATTGTGTGTGGTCACTGTCCCTGGTACTGAAAAGTCACTGTGTGTGGTCCCTGTGTATGGTCACTGTCCCTGGTACTGAAAAGTCACTGTGTGCGTTCATTGTGTGGTCACTGTCCCTGTTACTGAAAGGTCACTGTGTGCGTTCATTGTGTATGGTCACTGTCCCTGGTACTGAAAAGTCGCTGTGTCTGGTCACTGTGTATGGTCACTGTCCCTGGTACTGAAAAGTCACTGTGTGCGTTCATTGTGTGTGGTCACTGTCCCTGTTACTGAAAGGTCACTGTGTGCGTTCATTGTGTGTGGTCACTGTCCCTGGTACTGAAAAGTCACTGTGTGTGGTCCATGTGTATGGTCACTGTCCCTGGTACTGAAAAGTCACTGTGTGTAGTCACTGTGTATGGTCACTGTCCCTGGGACTGAAAAGTTGCTGTGTCTGGTCACTGTGTATGGTCACTGTCCCTGGTGCTGAAAGGTCACTGTGTGCGTTCATTGTGTGTGGTCACTGTCCCTGGTACTGAAAAGTTGCTGTGTCTGGTCACTGTGTACGGTCACTGTCCCTGGTGCTAAAAGGTTGCTGTGTGTGGCCACAGTGTGTGGTCACTGTCCCTGGGACTGAAAAGTCGCTGTGTGTGGTCACTGTGTATGGTCACTGTGTATGGTCACTGTGTATGGTCACTGGTTCTCAAAGGTCTCTGTGTGCGGTCACTGTGTGTGGATACTGTTACTGGTGCTGAAAGGTCGCTGTCTAGTCAGTGCTTGTGGTCGCTGTCTGTGTTCACTGTGTGTGGTCGCTGTCCCTGGGGCTGAAAGGTCACTGTCTGTGGTCACTGTCTGTGGTCACTGTGCGTGGTCACTGTGTGTGGTCGCTGTCCCTGGGGCTGAAAGGTCACTTTCTGTGGTCGCTGTCTGTGGTCGCTGTCTGTGGTCACTGTGCGTGGTCACTGTGCGTGGTCGCTGTCCCTGGAGCTGATAGGTCACTGTCCATGCTTCTAGCGGAAGATTCTGGTTGATCCCAGATACATTTTCACAAAGTAAAGGTCAGAGTTATGCAACCTGTCCCTTTTAAGTAACATCATCCTACTACGGTCTTTGTGATGATTATCACCATGAGCCTGAGATTTAAAAAACACACAAACCACCTCCTTTGCATGTAAGTCGCGTGTTTTCAGTCAGTAGCTTGGCATCGCGGGGTGTTGAAGGCTCTGCTGTGCTTCCTCACCTACGGCAGTTTGGGTGGATTTTACTCTGGCAAGATGCTGGGAATCGTGTCTGGAGGTTTTGGTCTCTGCATGAATTACATGTTGCTTTAAATGTATGATATTTCATTGCAGTATTTGCATGTTTGCTGTGATCATAAAGCCTGTTCTCTTGAACCATGTACTTCATTTGTTCTGGACTTTTGTTCTTTTTGTTCTGTGTGTGTGTGTGTGTGTGTGTGTGTGTGTTGAAGCACGGCTCACGCATGACCAGGTACACACTGCATCTGGCTGCCCTGTTGTTTTTATAGTAACCATGACAACATTCTACCGGGCGCACTGAGGTACATTTGTGCATCGACACTTCATAGACCTTTTATGTGCATTTTTACTTAATTTGCTTTCAATAAATAGATACCCTTCTTCATGTCAGTGTGATTGACGTGTAGTATAGCAGGCTAATAGGTTTCCCCTAATTGCCCATAGTGTTTCCTGTCACGACCTGCTCGTCCAACCCTGTCCTAACAGTCTCCCAGTCCCCCACCCCCGACACTCGTGCCCCTGTAGTAGATAAGCGGGGTGGAACCGGATGATCCATCTTCCGGTGACCATAATGATGCCCACATGCAGCTGGTTTCTGAAGTGACCCGGCGCTGGCGTAGCTGCTGGTAAAGCCGGCCTCGTCGGAGCAGTATGTTCCCTGAGCCTGTAAGCCTGTAATGGGCTGATCTATTCCATCCTACAGTGAAGGCGTAACAGAAACAGTCATTCTTCTGGATTTATGAGGGCTCCCCCTCCTGGCAGGGAGGGCTTTCAGGGTTTCGGTGACTGCTCTGGACCCGGGGCGGGGGCACATGTGATTCTGTCCCAGTACGATTCTGTTCCCTCAATGTACATCTGATAATATCTCATATCGGGAATATAAAGTCCCGGGATTGTACGGGTACCATCAGCGTGTGAGGATCCTTCCTCCTACGTGACCGCCATGCGCTCCACATGAGGCCGTCGAGAGCTCGAGTGGCTCTCAGAGAGACTCTTAAAGAAAACATGGTGCTCTCCTTCCTCCCGCTTTCATGTGATATCAAAGGACCCAGAGCTCGACAGGTGAACCAGAAAGCCCGGCACTCTCTGCCTGCTCAGCTGAGGCCCCTCCTCCGCTGCTCCCGTTCAGGTCGGGGGGGCCCAGAGGCGGGGACCATGCATATGATTGGCAGGGCAATAAATCTGCTGCTGATGGCGTAACCTAGCAACCACTGAATTAACTGGCGTCGGGGACAGATGTCACCTGCTTTGATGTTGCTGGTGTAAACACTCAATCCAGGTGTCAAACACGCTTTGTGTCTTCTGTCGGTAGATTATCCTAAACTCTGTCATTATCTGTCACTAAATCCTGATTTTGCTCAGGAATGATTTTGCTTTGTTAAGTCACCCTCTCTGCATGATTTTTTTACGCACCGTAATGTTTACGTTGAAGCAGATGTGGACACTGGTGCTGAATGTTCGGTGCATCACAGGTTTTCCCCACAGTATCAGTTAAATTCCTACATTCCCTCTCATCCGTGATAAACCAGCACTTCTGACTTTAACATGTGCTGCATGTTCTGTTTACTGTGTTCAAATCACACTAGTTTGTATGTTTAGTTGCTTAGCAACAACATTATTACTCATTTAAGCAATCTGGTGTTTAATTTGGCTCTAGTTCCGAGGAACTTGAAGTTTCAAAGCCATATTCTTATCTACTTCACTACCTGCTGTCTGTATTACACGTTACATATTTGCATTTTCCTTGTGGCACATTTGCCTCTAGGTAATAATTTTGCATTTCGATCTGATGGCTGGTGATCCATCAGCTTACAGTCTTGAGAGATATATGTTGTTTGTTAAAAGTGTTTCGTCACTAATTCCAACTCCTTCGACCCCCTCCCCCCCCTTTCTCCTCCTCAGTGCTGAGCATCGGCGAGGGGGGATTCTGGGAAGGCACCGTCAAGGGCCGGACTGGCTGGTTCCCCGCGGAATGTGTGGAGGAGGTGCAGATGCGACAGTATGACCCGCGACTGGGTAAGAATCCGGGCCGGTCTTCCAGACTGCCCATGATCCTTCCATCGGGACCCATGCTCGTCCCAGACGGGCCCTCTCTGAAGCAGCCTTCTGTGGGTGGAGGGGGAGGGGGGGGGGCGGTGTGATTCCGGGAAACCTGGCCAAATATCGGTCTGTTTACAAGCATGATAGGCTCGCCAAAGGTTGACCGTAGTGACCGAGAAGGGAGAGGCGTGAAGGTGTCCCCGAGCCTCGGAGATGGAGGAGATGAAGGACTCGTGCGTCTTTGCATCAAGGTTCAGGAGATGAAGCCGTGAAGCTGTGTGATGCTGTCCAGCGACCAGAGAAGCTGCCCAGTAAAGCAACCAGAAATCAGCGGTGGGATATCAGCTGGCCCCGTTTGCGTCTAGTGTTGCTGGACTGGCCCGTATTTCCTGGCCGTCAGCCATCGAGGGCTTAGCCCTCCCCGCTGGGGAAGGAATCCCATTAAAGGAGGTGCATAAATCAAGTGCAAGAGGTATTAACCAGGGAGGCGGCCCGCGGCTCCCTCTCAGGCAGGCACTCCTGGGCCTCCAGCTCCCGTGTAATTATGGGATGGCCAAGGTGGATGTTCTTAATGTGGGGGGGAGGAAGGAGACTTGTAGCATAAAAATAATTCCAGGGCGCCAGCAAACTTTGAAGATTTGATATCGTTTATAGTGTTTGATTTACTGTTTGGCTTCTCGCGTTTGAGGAAGATTAACTCAGCGGCGTCCTGGCTGGATTTACATGCCCGAATAGAGAACATCAGTCATGTGACACGCAGCTCTTCTCGCTTCACATACGTTTGAATCAGGGGTTTTATTCGCTCAATATTTACTTTCTGTTCCGCTGTTAACACACAGACCTGCTTCCACGATGGCATCATGTCACCATCTTGCAATCAAGGTCCCCCAGTCTTTTTACAGAGTGCCCTTCACAGCACAGATTGTCCAGCAATACATTATTAGTTTTATGGATGTTAAAGGAGTATAAAAATATTGAAAATATAGAAGATGAGAAACGTCAGATTTTTCCACAGCAACAAGTTAATTGATTTACCCGTTCAAGTGAGCAAATGTCCCCTCGTTATCGTCTCAGAATGACTTGGGTGTCCGTTTCTCCATATTGTACGTAAGAGCGCCCCCTGTTGGCTGGTTAAAGCAAACGCAGGCTGCCTCTGACCTCTGGAGAGCAACATGAGGTCAAGTAGTAAGGTCAGCCAGGGGTGACAATCAGGGTCAGGGAGTCTGTGTTCCTGTTCCCTCCGCCGGTTAATCGATGTCCGGAGCGATGTCAGAGATAATTGGGAAGAGGAGCAGAGGAAACGCCTCCCTCTGCACGCAGGGCAGCTACCTGATGGCCGTAGAGACGACTCATGCCTCCGGGATGCCCCCATTTCCCTGGCGACCACCTGTGCCAGCCGGTCATGTCACCCCCAAGTGCAGTTGCATCCCCTTCAGCCAGCTGCTCCGTGTCACTGAGAAGAGCGGGAGGGCGAATCCGCCAGCGACCAGACCCAGGGACACAGACAGTCCCAGCATTCCTGTGCAGAGGGACGGAATGGATCCGATCCAGGTGCTGGCTGGTGCTGAGGCTGGTCCCATTTTTATTAAAAGGAGCATTGTCTGATATTTTGGGTGTTCTTGCAGTCCTGCTTTGCCAGCCTGCAATGGGGGCATCGTTCTGAGTTATGATGATGTTCAGTGACTTGGGGTGGTGAGTGTTTTTGACCAGCAAGCAGAAGTGCAGTAGTAGATGGACCAGGAAGTGGAGCCATAGGGCCAGATCTCCAGGGTATCTCCTGGACTGACTCGCGGGAGGGGCGCACTGTGAATCTGACGGACCTTTTCCAGAAACCTCCGCGATGGTCTTGAATCTGGCACTCAGTGGATCAGCGTGGAGGAGGGGAATCCTTACCTGATTAAAGACGGAACATGGATGTGAGGCATTAATGCCCGAGTAATGATGCGGCCATCGCCAGGCAGGAGTGGCGCACTGGGAAAGCGGCCACCTGACAGAGTAGTGAGCGTGTCACATGGTCATGCTCGGTAACACCTGTGAGTCACCCAGCGCCCCCCTTTCACTCCTCCTCATTCATTTCTTGTCCTTAATAAGGTCTGTGTCGCTGTTAACGCTCGGTTCACCATGGCCGTGCACGACCTTCATCTGCGGGACGCTCATCTGCAGAAGCCTAAAGGTGATTTCCGGAAATTTAACACCATGAGCCCAGCTGATTGGAAGCTTATTTTCGGGGCTGAAACACCGCACCCTCAGACCCCGTAGGTGGCTTGTAATAGAATATTTTTAAGTCCGTATCAATGTTTGAATTTTGCCGTCCAGGACGGTGCATGTGCTCTCTGTGGTTTGATCTTACCAGAAGATTCCAGCAAATGTGTGGTTTCCGCCGTTGAGGAAGTAGGATATTATGCAGTCCCTCCAGTTACTAACGAATCAACCACCAGGGCCTGGTTTCTAACTTCTGCTAAATGTACAAGAGGTACGCATCCCTGTAACCCATGACCTAATCGTTTGGCACTCCTTTCGTTTTCATCTGTCATTATTATTATACAGCTCACATTAAGTTTTCTTAGATAAATAAAGCAGAATCAGAGCTTCTGGACCTGTGAAAGGCAGCCCCCTAGGCTTCATACCCCCGGAGACAGGCCCGAGCATTTTCACAACACCTCTTTTGAGTTGTCTTGCCACCTTAAAGGCTGCAACAAACCTTGACCCCAACCTGTGTCTGCGCAGGTGTGAGCAGGAGTGCGCAGACAGGACGCACATACACGCTACGCACTGTGTGCGGATATTGCAGATCTCGATTCAGCGAGCAGCCAGCCTGCTGGCTCTGCCTTCACTTTCACGCCCTCGGCCCAATGATGAAAAATCACCACAATCGGCGTCCAGGTTTCTGAAGAGATATCGGACACCTGATCTGAGTCAGAGGCCCTAAATCACTGGAACTTTCTGGCCGAGTTGGGTGACAGGGCACCCTGCCAGCCAGCCAGCATGGGGACGTCCTGGGGGGGAGGTTCTCATTCTGCAATTTGCTCCCCTCCCCATGTCCTTCTCCAGCTCCCAGGGGGAATCCTGTCTTTCATTTAAATGGCCTTTATGTTAATCTCGCATGTAAATCAAAGGCTGCTTTCCATATTTGGAGCTATATTTGGGTAAATAATTAATCCATCTTTAGTGGATCACTGCCAGCTTTCAGGTCCTGATCGGCTTTCGAACAAGACCAGACTGCTTCATCTGCTCATTTGCATTTATCGCCATCCCGCTCAAGTGCCCGCATAACTGATATCGTACAAATTATGCCATCCATCCATCCATCCATCAATCCCTCATCCATCCATCCCTCATTCATCCATCCATCCATAACTGCATGTCCAGTTCAGGTGTTTGCTGATAAGTTTAGCTTGACAACAGCAGAAAACCAAAACTGTTAAGACACAGATCATTCTACATTTCTTATTCAGGGAGCATTACGGAGCTGTTGTCTTCTGGGCTTCCAGTGCAGCAAGGGCCCGTTCTCTGAGTATGTCGGGACACCGTGTCCCCTGTCTTATCCACTGTGTCCATGATGTGTTACTCACTCCAGTGAGGAATTAGCGTGACATGGGCATGAGGGCAGCGTGTGGCTCAGTGGGCTGAGCCTGTGTGCCTGTAATCAGAAGGTCACCAGTTCAAACCCAGCCTCAGCATCTCTGCGGGTCCTTGAGCAAGGCCCTTAACCCCCAGCTCCCTGGGCGCCACTATGGGTGGCTGCCCTTCGCAGACAACTTACTGTAGAGCAAGTTGAGGGAGGCGTAAAGACAATTTCCCCACGGGGATTAATAAAGTGTTGATTATTATTTATTATTGTTACATGACCCAGTACAGACATCCTATGCGGACCTGCTTCACCAAAGCAAAACAGTCAGTGTAGGAATCCCCTTGTTTGACTTGTAAGCCCCCCCCCCCCCACCACCCCGGGGCAATGAGTCACCCTGCCATGAATCACCATAACCCGAATCCAGACTGGCTCGTCTTTTAAATCGCAGATTTATGTTTATGGGACTTTAAGAACATTCACACTTCCATCTCATCAACCCTCCCCTGCCTCCCCTTCTCTGTTGTCATCCTGTTTTCACTGAAAGCTTTAAAGCGTCATTCAGTTTTCTGTAGAGAGATTAGTTCAGCGCAATGTGTCCTAAAAGAAGAGTTTGGGGAAAGTACCTCTATCTCAGGTGGCTAACACCCCTGCCCTTTAATCGGGAGATAAGGAGACGGTGTTCTTGGACAGACTCAGATCTCCCTCCGGCTTTCGACTTTGGACAGAAGCCCAGTGTTCATCTAGACAGAGTGTCCTCAGTCAGCCGTCTAGAACGGACGTTATGTCAGAAGTGCAGATGGTGAAGCCAGTGCTTCTTTAGAGACTGAGATCACTCGCATATGGTGCCTTCACCAACATGTGCACTGTAACGGCAGCCTTGTGATGACTGGACAGTTTTGTGGAGCTACAAGTCGTGTTTCTGTACAATGTGCTCCAAGAAGGTCAGAGGTCTGTGTTGAACTTATGTAATAGGCAAAGAGTAGAGGTAGAGGTGGAGCTTCGGCCAGCAGGTCGAATTCTCACTGGCACTGTAACAGCAGCTGTCTCCCTAAGTTAAAGATAAATACTGTCCTATCCAGGGAGTGTTTGATCTCTCCCAAGAGCACCTGACTTATCTTAGGATTTCTAGTCCGAGGCCTCCTCACCTTTCCTAGATTTGCATGGCTTGTCCCAGGCCTGCTTCACCTTTCTTAGATTTACCTGGTCTATCCCAGGACTGCTTCACCTTTCCTAGATTTGCCTGGTCTATCCCAGGACTGCTTCACCTTTCCTAGATTTACCTGGTCTATCCCAGGCCTGCTTCACCTTTCTTAGATTTACCTGGTCAATCCCAGGACTGCCTCACCTTTCCTAGGTTTACCTGGTCTATCCCAGGACTGCCTCACCTTTCCTAGTTTTACCTGGT